GACAGAATTTTTCAGTAATTAAAAATCTATTTGTCACAACTATTCGTCATATGTGCGCCACAATTAATTCCAGCCAAATGTCGTAATGCCGGCCATTTCGTGACATTTTTTGATGGGTACGCAGGGGAAGTCTTCCTCAGTTACTGCGCCATTCGTAAATGCTAACTGATCGATATATTCATGCCATGCCAACATATCATCAAACAAGTAATGTTTAGAGTTTCTCCAGGACGATTTCTTAATTAAAGCAGATGTAGAATTGGAATTTCGTCGAATGTAAAAAAATTTGGTTGTTGCATTTTTAATAGCAAACTACCTTTTTAAATGCATCTATTTACAATTTCTTTATTTCAATAAAAAATTATAAAAAAAATAATCAGTTTCAACAGCTCTTTGTTTTATCTTTCCTCTTAAAATTCTTACGAAGAAAATTATCATCTATTGGATTAAGTAAATTTATTGAAATTGGATTTTCTTGGAGCTCAACAATTTCAGGATTTGATAATGTAACGTATTACAAAAAAATAGCTGAAATACTGAAATTGTATCATCGCGGAGAATATATATATATATATAAACCTTCGTTGATAGAATTTTTTTACTGGCATTGAAAGATTTGTGCTCAACGTAAGACCCGTCTCGTCTGTATAGCTAATAATGTGAATACAATTTCATAACATGTCTATATCATTTTAAAGTTGAAGCAAGACGTCCAAACGTTATAACAACTTTTCGGATAAAATCGGCAACTGGATGTTAATGTGAAGTTGAAGTGGATTTTATTACAAGAAAATCAATAAATAATAAGATAATATGAGTGTTAGCTATTGATAAATTTAATTTTATTTTTTTTAATATTTTTTAATTTTAAAATGTTTTTTTTTTATTTATTATTTTTTTTAAAATTTAGCAAATTTTTTAATATAAAAATATTTTTTTATACTTGTGATTTTAATTTAATGTTTTTAATTATGTTTATTTTTTTTTAAATTTTTTTTTATTTTCGGATTGATATTTTATTAAATTCATTTATTTAATAATTTTAATTTTTTAAATTTGATTTATTTTAATTGATTTTATTAATTTTTTTTTCCTATGTATTCTTTTTTTCTACCTAAACAAAAAAAAAAAATTGCGAATAACCGCGCGATTTTTTTTTTTTTATAATCACGGGTTCAAGTATTTAATTTTTTTTTTACTATTTTTTAATTTGCATATACTGTATACAGCAATGTTGGGTTTTGGACACATTTTTTGATTTTAAATATTTTGGACAAGATTTTGGACAGAAAATCGTGTCCATTACCTGTACAAAATTGTCCAAAATTGTCCAATTTCCAAACACTGATATACAGTATATCTCCTATTTTTTTTTATTTTTCGAATTAGGGTGTTCTCAAGCACAATACTCAATGGATCGAAAATCGAAAATCGAATCTTAGAGTCGAATCTTGAGAATGATAATCGCGATTAAATCGATTCTAAAAATCGATTCTAAATTTTTAAATCGATTCCAATCCCTATTCCAAGGACTTTAAGCGTAGGTTTTTTTAATTTCCAAAAAAAAATCTACAAACTGGAGTATCTAAAGTACATCTAAAAATAATAAAAATCTAAACTAATGTTAGCAAAGATCGTGACGAATCTGAATCATATTCTAAAAGCGCCCTGGATTTGAGTTTTACATTAGGTGAGGCAATATAAAAGTCACAGATTCACACAAAGAACAAACCCAACAACTGGATTTGAGTTAAAGTACATTTAAAAAATAATAGAAATCTAAAATGTATTAGCAAAGATAGAGTCATATCCTAAACTCACCTTGGATTCGTGTTTTATTTTAGGCGTTGACCGCAACACTTCGAGGCAGTATGTACCGTTATACCCACACAAAGGACAAATCCAGGCTTGCTAACAATATATGTAAAACATATATCTCCATTACCAAGAGCGTTAAACGTAAGTTAAAATCTCCAAGAAAACTGGACTATTTCTCTTTTGTTCTACTATTTATTCTATATTAGGGTCTTTTCATTTGGAGGAAATAGGACTTTCTTTCGAAAAACTCGGTTATTAAAAAAAAAATAAAAAATGTGGTGAATATATAGGAAAGTATTAATTATTCATTAAATATTTAACCCTTTATTTTAACATAATATAAAATACAATAAAAATAAATACCAGATTTCCAGTTGACACTCTAAAAATTAAAGTTATTCTGTTCCATGTAATTTTAGTTCAAACTCTCGATAACGAAAATGTCCCATTTGGATCCATACACTTGAGTAATAAATTTTGACTGTTTTGTATTTCGATTAAAAGAGCTCATCCACGTAAACTAAAATCTCATTCATGATTATACATCACGTAAATTTTAGAATAATATTTGAGACTTAACATAAATCGCTCTTTGTCGCTCGCGCAAACGTGAAACCATTAGTTAGAGCATTCTTAATATTTTCTTTGTAGCTTTGTGACGATTTGAATTGTTGTTGTACATGTTGTACATGTTTTGTAATGCCATGTTGCTGATATTACATTTCTCCCTAGAGTAGAGTAGAGTTCTTCTTGACAACCATTAGTAAAGCTTCCAATAAGTCGGAAAAGTTTTCCATTTGAAATTTTATCCTTAAAAGGAATTTAAAATTGCTTGAGAAGAAACCCATCAAAACATTTTTCTTTTTATAATTAAAAATATAATACTTATCTTTGATCTTGAACGATCTCACCTCGCAGTTTTATTATATATATCGCAAATCTTTTAAATATTTAATACTTTTATAGCAGAAAACTTTTTGCATTCGAAAGAGCATAAAACAATTTTGATTCTTTGATAACTACCATCCTTTTCAATAGTTGGACTTTGCATTTCGGACCTTGACTTTAATAGGATCATGGCAGAAGTTCTACTTTGCTTGAATAAAGAATTGTTTTGTCGTATGTGCTTATATGTTGTCTTCTTGAAACTTTTTGTGCTTATGCTTGATAATTTTCAATAATTTGTAAAGATTTACCAGAACCAACGGGACAATAGGATCAAGACCAATCCATGAATAACAGCCATTAAAGATTCACAGTCCTCTTGAAATTCTTCATCAAAGTTTCTCCAACTCTACTCTTCTTGTATAAATAAGTGTCTTGTCTTATGACTCAGAAAATGTTTTAGACGAGACATTCATTGTCGAACGCTTTCCATCTTAAATCTTTTTTGATGGTTGTATAAAGTACTTACTTTCATTTTTCTTAAAAAATGATAGTATAGCTTTGAGGCCTAAAATTTGAAATATTAATTTGAAAAATAGAATAAGATACGAAAAGTATTATAAGTAATAATAACATTATAAGAGAACCTTTTTACGAGAAAATTTTTTTTTTCACTAACTATGATTAAAATTAGTTAAAATGTAAAAATAAACTACTGATTGATTTACAATTTTAGAGAATATTATTTTTATTTATAAAAGGTAAAAAAAAGGTAAATCATAAATAATTAATTTATTTAAATATAATAAAATAATTTAAAAGGTTCGAAAATTAAATAATTATAACATGTCGTTGTGGGATAGTGCGTGAGATTTCCTAGCTGAATTTACATATTACGTGGACACTCAAAATTTTTGAAATTTTTCTCTTATTTTCAAAAATTTCTCTGTTCTTTAGTTAGTTAAAAAAAAATTTAATTTGCATGTTTCAAACAAGTGAAGGATAACAGAACAAAATAGTATAGTACATTCTCCAATAAATTTCGAAATGATATCACGTGATGATGTCACGCAGAATTTTAAACATAAAATTCGCTTATTAGATTTCTTATTTGTAAAGTTACACAAAGAAATCTTGAAAAATAAATCATGACATTATCGAAACTATAATGCAGATACGTTATGAAAATGCCTAAATAAGGATAGAACATGTTACGCGAGTTGAAAATGTTCCTTATACATATCGACCATTTTGGATTAACAAAAATAATTAACTATTATCCAGATGTTGAGGTGAGTTTGCTACATAGTCAAAAAATGCTTGAGTCGATTTATCCTGTCAACCTACACCCGATTTTGAAGCGTTATTTTTATATATTACAAATCGTCCCATTTTATTGTTATAATAATTCAAAATCCAGAATTTTTCAAGTAGTCACTTTTATTCTAGCTGATCTTCAGTGTTACTCTTCATTCGTCTTTATTTGTTTATTTATTTAAATCGAAATGAAGAATTAAATAAATGGGTCTTCTAAAAACGCGCCGCTGAAAAAAAAAACAAAGATTTTTTTTATGTTGTCTTTTTTATTGTTATAACTTGTATGTTTCGACGATTTTTTTTAATTTGAAAATATAAACGTCAATTATGATTATAACCCTGTGAAACTTGCTAGACCCATTTTAATTATTACCATATTTAAATAAAATATAACCTTCTATATTATCACTAGTGGTACAACGTACATAATAGTACATATATTTATCCTTTGAAGTATGTGGTGTTTTATGTCATGTTACTATTAAATAAACTACTAAAATAAACTATTTACACTGCATAAATAAATATCGAGTGACACGAAATGTTGTAGAGTCGGGTCACTCAAGTGAGTAGAGTTTAAAAATATTCTCAACATCATCCTTCCGTATCACTCCCTAACACTATATGATTTTTAAATAAAAACCATATTTCTTTCCCGAAAGTTCCAGCAAAGTTTCATTACGCAACTATAACTGAATAATTATCCGAATCAGATTTTGATTACCCCCAGCATTATTCATGAGGTTGGTATACATGCATTTCCTTTTTAAGTAATATTTCCGGGATACATAACTAATCATGCATATGTGATTTTACTGGCAAAAAATACCATTCAATATATTATCTCGTGGTGTATACATTTCTTTTGGTAATCCTTACGAAAATGGTAATAGTTAATCATATATATAAGTGTAAGTATGAATGAATTGATCGCAAAATTAAAACTTCACTTTTTACACGTATAATTTCAAATAATAAAAATGTCATCTTCAGTTGCCATAGGCAGTGAGTTCGTACAAAAAAACGTTGATATTTTGAAGGCTAAAAATGTGCAGGTGAAAGGGATAGGGTGTGTATTTCACTGTATTAATTTGTTGAGTCATTAGTATATCCGAAAGATACGATGCTACTAGGTGCAAAATGTCTGGGAAATGAAAGCTTTTCGTGGCAACGGTTTCAGTGAACGGTTCTTCACAGTTTCCGAAATCCCAAATTCGTGAATAGGATATAAGGCTCTTCGTGGCCACAAAAAAAATGCCTGTGAACGTTCTTCTTGATTTTTGATGATGTTGACGCAATTACTCATTTTTTTATTTATAATTTTCACAGAGGCCGAGGGAATAAGGGGATCAATATGCGCGGGCGCATGCATGGCGAATTCTTTGCGGGGAAGTGCAAAGCCTGGAAGAATAATAAAATAGGTATTTAATGGAATTTAATGAAAATTAATTATATCTAAATGAATATCATTTAATAAATATCTAAATATCTCAGGGTCCGCTGTAATCCGAGAAATGATTGGAGCGTTGGCAGCTGAGCCTTGGTTGACGATCGGCGTGGTGGTGGGGTTGTCCAAGAATTCATTTACCAGTGGCGCGGTTAAAGCGGCCGAAAAATCAGGAATAATCATAACCGATAGTGATCATCTATATGATGACCTATCGGTAGTCGCTGGTCGACTTAAAAGAAAGAGATATACTGTATATTTTTGTATTTTTATTTGTATTTTTATTTGCATTTTTATCATTTTGTACTATATAATTCTAAAATGCTACCTCTAATAAATTTTAATATAAATCTTGCTTTATCTTCCGTAACATTCTTTATGATCATGATTGCTTTGTGTTTATGTAATTTTGATATTTCACGCGTGGTGGGTTGCTTATCGGATAACACTACTTGTAAAATGATTGTGATCAAGTTTGTGATCAAAAATAAAAATATGTGATTAATGTGGATTTGGGTTAGGTGTTAGTATTTAGGTGTCAAATAAGCTAAGCATAAACCAGACCAACTAATCGGAAATTTGGGCAAAATTAGTGTAATCTGCCTTAAAATCGGTTAATTTAATTTTAAGTTAGAAAATATTTTATTATATATTACAGTTTATTACTTTATATTATAAATTTGAAGAATTAATTTTAAAAAATAATAAATAAACAAAAAATTAAATAACGAAAAAAAAAAAATCCTCATTTAAGTATATTCTTAAAAAAAAAAAAAAGAAAAATAACTCAAAAGTATCTTGAATAATTTATTCTAGATTTTAAAGTAAACAATAAAAAAGGTCTAAAAAACAGACAGAATAGCAAATCTCTTTTGTCTAATCCTATTCACAGCTTGTCTTGAAATCCGCAATGTATAATCAAGAAACATTCAGAAAAATCACAATCCATTAACTTTAGTTGAAATGCAAATGAATAATATTATGAAATGAAAAACTCCAAATGTCAAAAAAATAGATCTTGAGGAGGTAAAGCCATAAGACCACTTTTTAAATTGAATAAATCTTGATGTTATTATTATAAGATCTTGATATAAAAATTACTAAGATCTTAATATTAAGATCTATTATATCAGAATCCATCAATTTAGAAATACCTCTGTAATAACCTATTTTATTGATACCAGAATTACAAGATCTGTGAAAAAAATTTATATAGAATTCTTAAAAGAATTAACACAAAAATGGAGATTAAATTGTAAATTAAATAAATAAAAAAGTTAGAAGAAAATAAAAAGACCCTTAATGAATTGGTAATACTTATAAAAGAAAATGAAATTATAATAGATTTGTGTTAAACTGTGGAGATCTAAAAATGCTAGAAGAAAATCATGATTTATTAATATTTTGTGCAATGTAAGAAAAAATAAAATATTAGAAGATTGAATTCTAAAAACTATTTTAATTCATCTTTAAATGAAATTGTGTTACTTATAGACAAACAGTTAGCTTATAAAAAGATTTTATCAAGAAAAAAACAAACATACCCAGATGTAACTATAATTAAAAAATAATGCTAATAAAGAAATATTTGAATGAGTCATCTTTTAAAAATAAGAAAAAACTTTTAAACATGTCAAGTAGTATATAAATGGGCTTTTTGGCACAAAAAGCTCGAATGCCTTCAGAAGGTCATCCTGGGTATTACAAATTTCTTAAATCGTATTTCACATATCAAATTCATAATGAAATATTACTTGAAAGCCTAAGATCACCATTTCACTTTCTTGGCTAGCTTTCATTCTGAAATCGCTTGTTTCCAAGTAGTAAAAAAATTTTTCTACTTTGG